GTCGCACGCCCACCAAGTTCCGGGAGAACGAGGGGACGTGAAACCCAGTGAGAGACTCGGAGGGAGCAGCAGGACACGGTAAAGTGGTAGTGTGACGTGCAGTGACTGGTCCCGTAGTGGGATCAGCCAACGCTACAGAAACAGGCGCAGGAAGTGGTGTAAGTGTCGTGCTGTCCCGAAAGAAGCAGTGGGAGGCTCCAGAGTCCAGTGTGAACGACAGCGAAGCGTCCTCTGAGGTAGTCGCTGGTCTAGAGTCTACACAAGTACCTACACTAGCAACAGGCAATTGAGCAAGACTAGCACCTAAGCTAACAACACCAGAGTAAACAGAGTCAGAAACACTAGAGTCAACAACAGCATACATAGCATGAGGAGCACTAATCAGATCAACTAACTGCTCAGCAGACATGCCCCACAGAGCGGAGCCGTATCGCTGAACCAGAGGAAGCCAGTCAGGAGCAGGACCGCCAACCCCGTAGGTCAACCGGACCGTGTCAGTGAGCTGAGCAAAGCACTGACAAGGGGGGTGAAAGCGGCCACAAGGGTGGCCCCGACGAGGACCTGTCTGAACCTGGTAGGGGCAGGGAGGGTAAGCAGCACCGCGCTGGGGCTGACGCAGCCCCGACCCCGGAGCCAGCTGCTGACGCTGCTGCTGCTGAGGCTGCTGGGAGGAAAGGGGCTGCTGCTGCTGCTGAAGGTGCTGCTGACGCTGAGCCTGGTACCACGCCGCTGCTCCACCTAGCGGGGCCGGCAGTGTAGGAGGCGACTGACGAGCTCGAGGGTCGCCGCCACCAGCAGGTGCAGTGGAGTCACCAGCCGCTGCACGAGGGGTCTCTCCAGACGCTGCACTCCCACCACCGCCAGTCGCAACAGCACCCCCACTACCTCCGCTACCTCCGCCTCCACCTCCACCGGAACCACCTTTCTTGCCCCCCCTGCCGCGGGACCGCGACGCAGTCGTAACAGCAGCCGCAGTCGCGTCAGTAGCGGCAGTGGCAAGAGAGGCAGTGAAGGTGGGTAACTGCGGGACTGTGCACCCGTGGAAGAGTGGGGGGGACACAGTACCAGAGGCGGCAGCTACTGAACGAAGGTTGCTCTTGACGTCCTTGAGTGCAGACTCAAGGACCTCGATAGTCAGCTCACTAGGGTGCTTCAGCAGAAGCGCGTCACGAACGGAGGCAAGGCGGTCAGGGAGGCTAGTGGCGATGAAATAGACAGTAATCGCCATGGGGGGAGGAAGCAGTGCAAGCTGTGCCTCAGTGCAAGCAGCGCGGTAACTAGCGTCGAGCGAGCGGAGGTGAGCGATCAAGTCAGCAGAGCGCTCAAACGAGGCAAGATCAGGAAACAGGAACGGGAGGAAAAGACGGCCGAGAGAGACAGTAGCGGGAGTAGAGTAGCGGGCCTTAATCGCAGTGAGGTACGCAGCAGCGGTGCGAACCTGAGTAAAGTGGACCTCCTCGGACTCAGGGAGGAGGCTGCTGAGTGCGATGCAGGCCGCAGCGTCACGCGGCGTCCAAGCCGTCCGGTCAGCGCGCTGACGGGCAAAGCGAGCCGTAGCAGCGTCGTCAGGAGCAGGGCCTAAAGCGGTAGGCTCGGGGGGCTCGGGGAGGTCACCAGTAGCGTGTGACCAGAGGGTCTCGCCCCCCTGGACCTGACTCTCTAACAGACGACGAGCGCAAAGAAGCCAGACGGAAAAGTCAAGGGGTCTACCGTCAGCGTCGAAACGAAGAACTCGCGGAGTCGCCATAGTGAGAACCAACGCGAACGAACAGGCGAGTAACAACCGGGGGGGAAGAGGACTCAGTCGCAGCGGAAGAGCGGGCTAGGGCGACGGGCCAAAACGTAGGGTAGGGCAACGGGCCAGGGCCTAGGGTAGGGCGACGGGCCAGAGCCTAGGGAGGGCGACGGGCCAGGGCCTAGGGAGGGCGACGGGCCAGGGCCTAGGGAGGGCGACGGGCTAGGGCCTAGGGAGGGCGACGCGACGGGGGAAAGGGCGGGAGCGACGCGACGGGGCAGGGCGACGCGACGGGACAGGGCGACGCGACGGGGCAGGGCGGCGCGACGGAGCAGGGCGACGGGACAGGGCAGGGTGACGCGACGGGGTAGGGCGACGCGACGGGACAGGGCGACGGGACGGGACGGGACGGGACAGGGCGACGCGACGAGATGGGACAGGGCGACGCGACGGGACAGGGCGACGGGACGGGACAGGGCGACGCGACGGGACAAGGCGACGGGACGGGACAGGGCGACGCGACGGGACAGGGCGACGGGACAGGGCAGGGCGACGCGACGGGACAGGGCGACGGGACGGGGGGGGAACAGGCGGGCGCGACGCGACGGGGGGAACAGGCGCGACGCGACGGGGGGGAACGGGCGCGACGCGACGGGGGGAACGGGCGCGACGCGACGGGAAGAACGGGCGCGACGCGACGGGGGGAACGGGCGCGACGCGACGGGGGGGAACGGGCGTGACGCGACGGGGGAGATGACGCTAGGCTCGGTACTAGGCACGGTAACAACTAAACTGGTACGAACGAGAGGTAGGATCAGGCTCGGGAGGTACGAACGGAGAACGGAGGAACGGGATCCCACAGGATCCTAACCTAGCTGATACCATGTCAGAATGAGGAATGGATGTTGCATTGATGTTGGTTGGGGTACATATTACAAACCCTAACTTCTGTACCCCCTAAGACAAACCTCACTACAGGCTACAACATTTGACATGTTTCACCAAACCTCGCATTGTTGGCCTGGCCGTGTCGGCCTACGCTTCGGGACTAGCCCGAGCCTCGTTTCCAGCGTAGCACTAGCTAGCTCGCACGCACCGCGTTACCGTTTGCATGTTTCGCGTGTAAATGTTCGCTCATGCCTTCGCTCACATTTTGTACCCGTTTGACACCTTAGTGCAATTCTCGCTACTTCGATTCATTGCACCCATAACACTTGGTATTCAGAGCCCCTTTCTTTCGGACCGCGCATCTCCGCACCCCATGAAATCAACTTTTGATTTTTCACTCGAAGGGACTCACGTACCTTAGCACCTAGGAGCTGCTGTCCTCGCGTTCTCTCGTAAACGCATGCAGCCACGACTGCGCCTAGACTAAGGGCGTATCTTTGGTTTGGGTCATGGCACTGTTTATCTTACTGTTTGGGTCATGCGGAAATCGCACATGACCCAAAGTGGCCTTCTGAAGCGCGGAATAGGTGGCGTTTTGTGCTGTTTGGGTCATGCGGAAAACGCGTATGACCCAAAGTGGCCTTATGACCCGAACCAAAGATACGCCCTAAGACGAACCGACGTCCTTCGAAATGGTTGAACATATCGATGTCACGACTCTCACGCAGGAGCACTTGAACGATCTGCTGCGACAAATCCGCGAGAGCGCCGAGGAAATTGCGACGCTGACGACAAAACGCTCGTCCCTGCAAAATGACCTCACACGAGCACAATCCGAAGCACCTGGCACTCCGATTCAGCCCGGACCACAGACATCACAGCACGGAAGTGTGGGGCAACCCGCGAGCGCCGCAAGTGATGGCGTCGTCCACCATGACGGAGACGACGACCACGGCACGACACACCCCGACGCGACGAATGCGGCCAGGACTCAGCCTCGAGTCACGATTTCAGTGCCAGCCGGCGAATCAACTCTTCCGTCGCCGATGCCGCTAAAGCCGCAGCGTCCGCCATGCTTTGACCCAAGTCAGCGGGGTGGTCCTACCGTTCAGGCGTGGCTCTTCACGTTGAACGTCTTCTTCGACACGAACTACGTCTCGGAGGATACGGCGAAGATTCGCTACGCCGTGTCGTTGCTGTGAGGACCCGCCATGGACTAGTGGCGCGTCATCGTCACGAAGCCTGTGGACTACGCGACTCTACCGACACGGGAAGGAAAAACCGAACCTTGGGCGCCGTCGTATTTCGTGGAGGTGCCCCAGTATCGCACGTGGGACGCGTGGTGCCCAGGTCTGCGCGCTCGTTCCGAGCCAATCGCGGCTTCGATCGCGGCGCGATAGAAGCTCCGCACTTGGCGCCAACCCGGTTCCGTCCAAGATTACACGAGCGGATTTCTGGCGCTATGCGAGCAAGTGGGATATATGCACGCAAGCGAGCGCATCGATCGCTACATCGGCGGCCTGATGCAGGACATCGCTCAGGAAATCCAGCTTCGCGGCGTCACCGACTTTCAAGAAATTCTCGCTATGGCGGAGAAACTTGACTTCTTTCGCCGACCGAGACCGGGGTCCTACGGAAGCAGCCATTGGGGACATCGGCCTCGTGGGACGAACGAGGGCGCCACGATACGTGCCGTTGCCGCAAGTGCCGCTGCTGCACCGTTCAAAGGGCGCTGCTTTGCGTGCAATCGGCCGGGACATCGCAAGAGCGAATGCCCGGAAAACGCTAAGGGAAAGGGGGAAGCTGAGCAGCAGAAACAGACCAAGCAGTAGGGAAACGCTGGAAGTCAGTAGCAGACGGGCCCTCTACTGACAGGTCACGCCGCTCGCCCGACCCAACCGACCCTCACCGAGTGATTGTGCCCGTTCACGCAATCGACCACACTCGGCCGAATAAGGAGGGGACTACGGTAGACAGCCCCATACTGCTGTCAGATATATATGACATAGCTATTGTAGGCTATAGTGGGGTAGCACATATGGGGTACAACTTTCTAGGGTTTGTATTTGTACCCAACTTTCACTTAGTCATTCATTCTCGTTCAACGATTCTCATGGTATCGAGCAGGTTCCCCTGTGGGAACTGCGCCTAGGGCCTGTCAGAATGTTATTTGTCTAGCCTGCATTGGGGTGCTCAATACTGAGTACAACCCTTTAGGGTTTTCTATTTGTGTATCCCAACTCTTGCTAGTCACACCCTTTTTCCTTCCCTTCCAAATCTCTCGATACTCTCCCCTAGGAGAAACTCACTCGAACTCACCTACCTCCTAGTGTGGGCCTAGGCTACTAAGCCTAGGCCCCACACCTACTATTTTGTCATGGTATCTAGAGCGAGCATGTTCCTGCCGCCTAGCTTAACGGGCCCACCAACGTCTTCCGCTGCCCTACTGTCCGCCGCGCGCCCCGTGGCGCGCGGCTCTGCATTTTCTTCCCGCCACGCGCTCCGAGCGCGTGGCGGCTTTTTTCTGCCCGCCGCGCGCTCGGGGCGCGCGGCGGTTTTCCCGTCCATCGAAGCGCCCTCGGGGGGGCTTGCGCGCTGCAGCAGCAGCCGCCGCCAGGCCTGCGGCAACGGACGCCGCCGCCCTGCAGCAGCAGCCGCCGCCAGGCCTGCAGCAGCAGCCGCCGCCAGGGTCTGCAGCAGCAGCCGCCGCCAGAGCCTGCAGCAGCAGCCGCCGCCAGAGCCTGCAGCAGCAGACGCCGCCAGGCCTGCAGCAACAGACGCCGCCGCCCTGCAGCAGCAGCCGCCGCCAAGCCTGCAGCAGCAGCCGCCAGGCCTGCGGCAGCAGCCGCCGCCAGAGCCTGCAGCAGCAGCCGCCGCCAGAGCCTGCAGCAGCAGCCGCCGCCAGAGTCTGCAGCAGCAGCCGCCGCCAGAGCCTGCAGCAGCAGCCGCCGCCAGCGCCTGCAGCAGCTGCCGCCCCTGGACCCGGTACGCTCTGTGCTGCCCTGTGCTGCCCGTGCTTGTGCTGCCTGTGCCTGTGCTGCCCGTGCCTGTGCTGCCCGTGCCTGTGCTGCCCGTGCCTGTGCTGCCCGTGCCTGTGCTGCCCGTGCCTGTGCTGCCCGTGCCTGTTGCTGCCCGTGCCTGTTGCTGCCCGTGCCTGTGCTGCCCGTGCCTGTTGCTGCCCGTGCCTGTGCTGCCCGTGCCTGTGCTGCCCGTGCCTGTGCTGCCCGTGCCTGTGCAGCCCGTGCCTGTTGCTGCCCGTGCCTGTGCTGCCCGTGCCTGTTGCTGCCCGTGCCTATGCTGCCCGTGCCTGTGCTGCCCGTGCCTGTTGCTGCCCGTGCCTGTGCTGCCCGTGCCTGTTGCTGCCCGTGCCTGTGCTGCCCGTGCCTGTTGCTGCCCGTGCCTGTGCTGCCCGTGCCTGTTGCTGCCCGTGCCTGTTGCTGCCCGTGCCTGTGCTGCCCGTGCCTGTGCTGCCCGTGCCTGTTGCTGCCCGTGCCTGTGCTGCCCGTGCCTGGTGGTGCCCGTGCCTGTGCTGCCCGTGCCTGTGCTGCCCGTGCCTGTGCTGCCCGTGCCTGTGCTGCCCGTGCCTGTTGCTGCCCGTGCCTGTGCTGCCCGTGCCTGTTGCTGCCCGTGCCTGTGCTGCCCGTGCCTGTTGCTGCCCGTGCCTGTGCTGCCCGTGCCTGTGCTGCCCGTGCCTGTTGCTGCCCGTGCGTGTGCTGCCCGTGCCTGTTGCTGCCCGTGCCTGTTGCTGCCCGTGCTAGTGCTGCCTGTGCCTGTTGCTGCCCGTGCCTGTGCTGCCCGTGCCTGTGCTGCCCGTGCCTGTTGCTGCCCGTGCCTGTGCTGCCCGTGCCTGTTGCTGCCCGTGCCTGTGCTGCTCGTGCCTGTTGCTGCCCGTGCCTGTGCTGCCCGTGCCTGTTGCTGCCCGTGCCTGTGCTGCCCGTGCCTGTGCTGCCCGTGCCTGTTGCTGCCCGTGCCTGTGCTGCACGTGCCTGTGCTGCCCGTGCCTGTTGCTGCCCGTGCCTGTGCTGCCCGTGCCTGTTGCTGCCCGTGCCTGTGCTGCCCGTGCCTGTTGCTGCCCGTGCCTGTGCTGCCCGTGCCTGTGCTGCCCGTGCCTGTGCTGCCCGTGCCTGTGCTGCCCGTGCCTGTGCTGCCCGTGCCTGTGCTGCCCGTGCCTGTGCTGCCCGTGCCTGTTGCTGCCCGTGCCTGTGCTGCCCGTGCCTGTGCTGCCCGTGCCTGTTGCTGCCCGTGCCTAGTGCGCTCTGCTACTGTCTGCGCCCCCGTTTCCGGGTATGGGGGTGGCTGGTGTGCATTCCTCCCTTTCCTCCTCCTCCTTCGTCTCCCTTTGCTGCAGCTGTCGCTGAGGGGGGTGGTTGTGTGGGAGACTGGGGTTTAGGGTTTAAGGGGGGTGCGTGGGAGTGGAGCTAGCGGTGTAGCAGCGGGTGTGTGTCAGGGGGGGTGGGACGGTTTGGGGAAGCTGCATGGAAGTTGCCGTCCTGTAGTCCGCAGCACCTGTAGTCCGGGGCGCTGTCCCGGTAGCCCAGTGAGCTAGACTTCTACGCCAACCGCCCGTGGGTCCGTTGCCCGTCTGCCACTGCTTGAGCCGCGGGGCCTGTTACTCCTGTAGTCCGGGCGCTGTCCGGTAGCCGCTGTGCCAGTCTGCCTCCTGTTGCCCGTGTGTCTGCAGCTTCAGCCGTCTCCTCCTATCTCCTCTCCCCTCACTCTCGCTCCTCCTCCTCACTTGCCCGTTGTGACTACCACTAGCTTTGCTCATAATTCTTAACTTTAAACTATTGCTTCTTTAACTTGTGCTCAGAATGTGTGGTGACATTGTGATCCACCCTGAGCTTGTACTACTTTGCCTGCTCTGCTGATTACACCCCACTTTGGCTATGGGGGTGTGTCAGAATGTTATTTGTCTAGCCTGCATTGGGGTGCTCAATACTGAGTACAACCCTTTAGGGTTTTCTATTTGTGTATCCCAACTTTTGCTAGTCACACCCTTTTTCCTTCCCTTCCAAATCTCTCGATACTCTCCCCTAGGAGAAACTCACTCGAACTCACCTACCTCCTAGTGTGGGCCTAGGCTACTAAGCCTAGGCCCCACACCTACTATTTTGTCAGGGCCCACCACTTCGATTTTTTTTTACTGCCCGAAGCGCGCTCATCCTGAGTCGCGCCTCGGGCTGTTAACTCGTCGAGCCGCCCTAGCGGCCTTCCCTACCCTAGCGGCCCCGCCGCCCTGCTTTACCGGCCCCGCCGCCCTACTTTAGCGGCCCCGCCGCCCTACACTTCGCGGCCCCGCCGCCCTGCTTTAGCGGCCCCGCCGCCCTCCTTTACCGGCCCCGCCGCCCTGCTTTAGCGGCCCCGCCGCCCTACATTTCGCGGCCCCTGCCGCCCTGCTTTAGCGGCCCCGCCGCCCTACACCTCGCGGCCTCGCCACCCTGCTTTAGCGGCCCCGCCGCCCTACACCTCGCGGCCCCGCCGCCCTGCTTTCTCGGCCCCGCCGCCCTTCATTTCGTGGCCCCGCCGCCCTACACTTCGCGGCCCCGCCGCCCTGCTTTAGCGGCCCCGCCGCCCTACACCCCGCGGCCCTGCCGCCCGACTCTACCGGCCCCGCCGCCCTTCTGCTGCGGCCCCGCCGCCCTGCATCTGGGGCCCCGTCGCCCGTCTGCTGCGGCCCTGCCACTCTCCTCTCCTGCCCACCACCCGAGCCGCCGACCGCAGCACCACCCTGCAGCGTGCACCCGAGCAGCCGACCGTCGCGCCGCCGAGTACCGGACGAGCCGGGCCGCCCAGCTGCAGAGCCGCCCGGCCGCCCACCAGCCGAGCCGCCCAGCAGCCGAGCCGCTGTGCAGCCGAGCCGCCCAGCAGCCGAGCGCCCAGCCGCCGAGCCGCTCTGCAGCCGAGCCGCCCAGCAGCCGAGCGCCGAGCCGCCGAGCCGCCCAGCCGCCGAGCCGCCCAGCAGCCGAGCCGCCCTACTACCGAGCCCCCCGACCTGCCCTGTCCGGTGAGCGCAGCCCCACTGTCACTGCGTGCCCTTCCCCTACTGCTTGCACTGCTAGTCTATCGTCGTCATGGCTACCCCTAGTGTCCTCACTTTTGACGCTGAGGGTCGAGCCATTGACTTTGAGGTCTGGGTCGACGACCTGCAGCTGTTTTTACAGTGCGATAGGGCGGACGGTCTTTCTCTCTTTGACCTCACCTCTGGCGCCTCTCCTGCCCCTGCTACTGATGCTGACCCCACTGTTCGCTCTCAGTGGGCCACTCGCGATGCTGCTGCACGTCTTGCTGTGCGTCGCCACCTGCCTACCACTGAGCGCGCGCACTTTAGTCAGTACAAGAGTGCTCAGACCTTGTACGACGCTGTAGTTGCGCGCTACTCTTCTCCTGCCACTGCTGCACTGAGCCGCCTCATGCTACCGTACCTCTTTCCTGACCTTGCTGCCTTTCCCACTGTCGCCGACCTCATTACGCACCTCCGCACTAGTGACACTCGCTACCGCGCCGCACTTCCTGCTGAGTTCTGCGCCAAGAACCCTCCCCCCATGTACATCACTCTCTATTACATAGTCACACGCCTCCTTGACCCCCTTCGCGTAGTCAGGGACCACTTTCTCTCAGTCTGTCCCACCACTCTCACTGTTGACCTCCTCGAGAAGGCCCTCCTGGCGGCGGAAAAGAGCATCGTCGCTGTAGGAGCCTCTCGGGGTGACCCTCGCACCCCCATCTTTGAGGGGTGTTCTCCTTCCCCCCTGCTGCCCTCTGTTGCCTCTGCTGCTGCTGCCAACCTGCTTGGTCTTGAGTCGGTCGGCGCGGCGTCTGCCCCTAGCGAGAGACGCCGACCTGGCAAGAGCAAGGGGGGCAAGGGCGCGGGTGGAGCTGGCGGGGGCAGTGGAGGTGGCGGTGGAGGTGGCGGAGGGAGTGGGGGTGGCGGTGGGAGTGGTGGCGGGGGTGGTGGTGGTGGTGGCGGCAGCGGAGGCGGAGGCGGTGGCGGCGGCAGCGGTGGGAGCGGAGGCGGCGGTGGTGGCGGAGGTGGAGGCGGCGGTGGCGGAGGGGGTGGAGCTGGTCGGGGTGGTGCCCCGCAGCGGAGCGGCTCTGGTGGTGGTCAGCGCCAGCAGCAGCAGCAGCAGCAGCAGCAGCAGCGTTCTCGGGACATCCCCCCGCCTCAGCAGCTCCGTGAGTGGTACGCGCAGCGTCAGCGTGGTGGGGGTTTTGGTCCGTGCACCTACGTCCTTCGTTCCGGCGACCGCGCGGGTGAGCAGTGTGGGGGTGCCCACCCTACCCAGCGCTGCTTTGGCCGCCTGACGGACGCTTGGCGTCAGCAGTTCCCCGAGGCTAGTGAGATTCCCCGCTGGGGAGAGCTGTCTAGGGCTGGCGTAGCTATCTTTGATCTTGACTTTGATGCTATCCTTGCTGCCATGTATGCTGTGACTATTAGTGATGAGGGTGACTGTTACCGGTGATTCCCGCCCGACCCGGGCATTGGTACTGCTGCGCTAGGTGCTTGTGAGGCTGCTGCTCTAGGTGCCAGTGCGTCTGCGCTCTCAGGGACTGGTGAGGCTGCGCTCTCAGGTACTGCGTCGGCTTCGGCCTCCCTCACCTTCACACTTGACTCAGGGGCTTCTCGCTCCTTCTTTCGAGACCGCACCATACTCACGCCGCTTGGTCGGCCGGTTGCAGTCTCCCTGGCTAACCCCTCTGAGGGCCCTGTCCTCTCTCACTTCTCCACTGTCCTCCCGTGTCCGGCTGCCCCCTCGGGCACCCTGTCTAATCTGTACCTCCCCTCGTTCTCGACGAACTTGGTGAGTGGTGCTGACCTGCAGGATGGGGGGGTTCACCAGTTTACTCCTGCGAGTCAGCGGGTGACCCACTGCTCGGACGCCCGCACAGGCCGACACCTGGCCACGTTTTCGCGTCGGCCGGGGTCGAGTCTCTACACCCTGACCACTGAGTCTCCTCCTGTCCCTGCGTCTGGCCAGGTAGCTGCGTCGGGTCAGGTGTTTGCTGCTGCGTCCAGGTCTGGTCCTGAGTCTGCCCCCTGCTCGTGTCGCCTCCTGTCTCACGAGTCTCTCCTGTGGCACCACCGTCCTGGCCACCCCTCCTTGCCTCGTCTTCGGGGCATGGCTTCCCGTGTCCTTGTCTCTGGACTCCCCCGGTCTTTCCCTCCCCTTCCTTCGGGGCCAGGACCTTCCTGTGTCCCCTGTGTCGAGGGGCGGCTCCGGGCTGCCCCTCACTCCTCCCAGTTTCCCCCGACAGAGGCTCCTCTGCAGACGCTTCACATGGACGTGTGGGGCCCGGCCCGCGTCCGTGGACAGGGTCACGAGCGCTACTTCCTGCTGGTGGTTGACGACTACTCGCGTTACACCACAGTCTTCCCCTTGCGCAGCAAGGGTGATGTCACTGAGGTGTTGATCGACTGGATCCGCGCAGCTCGTCTCCAGCTCAGGAGGAGCTTCGGCTCGGACTTTCCTGTCCTTCGTCTGCACTCTGACCAAGGTGGAGAGTTCTCCTCTGGCCTTCTGCGAGCCTACTGTCGTGCACGAGGCATCCGCCAGACCTTTACGCTTCCGGACTCTCCACAGCAAAATGGGATTGCTGAGCGCCGCATTGGCATGGTCATGGACGTCGCTCGTACGTCCATGATGCATGCGGCTGCCCCCCATTTTCTGTGGCCGTTTGCGGTTCGGTACGCGGCGCATCAGATCAATCTTCACCCCACGGTCTCCCGGCCGGAGACCTCCCCAGCTCTGCTATGGACGGGGAAGGTGGGCGATGCGTCTGCGTTCCGTGTCTGGGGATCTCGGGCGTTTGTCCGCGACTTGTCTGCGGACAAACTGTCCCCTCGTGCTGCTCCCTGTGTCTTCCTAGGCTTCCCCCCTGACGCCCCAGGGTGGCAGTTCTACCACCCCTCCTCTCGTCGTGTTCTGTCCTCCCAGGACATCACGTTCGACGAGTCAGTCCCCTTCTACCGCCTCTTCCCCTACCGCACTCCTTCCCTCCCCCCACCACCGCACTTCCTTGTGCCAGGTCCCCCCCAGGTAGACCCCCTTCCCCCTCAGGGTCCTGCCCCTTCAGGTGTGTCCCAGGTAGACGCAGTCGAGCCGGTCGAGGTTGCTGGTGACTCTGGTACTGCTGCGGGTGCTGAGCCTGGGGGTGCTGACTCTGGAGGTGCTGCGCGCGTGGGCGCTGAGCCTGGGGGTGCTGAGCCTGGGGGTACTGCGACGGGGGGTGCTGAGCCTGGGGGTGCTGAGCCTGGGAGTGCTGAGTCTGGGGGTGCTGAGCCTGGGGGTGCTGCGACTGGGGGTGCTGAGCCTGGGGGTGCTACGTCAGGAGCTGCTGAGCCAGGGGGTGCTGCTGAGCC